GGGTGTGTCTGCAACCAGGGGTGTCAGGGCCATCCTGACAGGTTGAACTGGGCTGAGGTAGGGAGATGGGAATTGAGAAAAGAAAGAAAGACAGGAGAGCAGGGTTTTTTCTTGTCTCCTCATTTTGGCAGCCTGTTTTGGTTTGTGACTATGTATTAGGTAGATCCACTACACCTCTCAATCTCTAGTGCTGTACAGTGTCAAATGCTGTTTCTAACTAATTAGATTAGGCAAAGACTCAGCCTCTAGAGGAAGTAAGGGAGAGATAGAGCAGAAGGACAAATTCTCGGTACAGCAAATCTCAGTAAATAGTTACAGACTTCTTGGTAAGCCATGAAAGGCTGTTCTCATTCTACAAAGGTTGCTCTCATTCTACTGATAACCGCCATCCAAACAAGCCTGGGAAAACTGTGTGGGTAAGGGTCCCAGCCTTGCTAGCCCCTTCAGGTGCAAGAACTATGTCAGCTTACACCTGGTCTCCAACACAAGGTACATTGCCCTTGACCGGAATCAAACCTGGGACCCTTCAGTCCCCAGGCCGATGCTCTATCCATTGAGCCAAACCAGCTAGGGCTAATTTTTGGCATTTGAAGTATGATGTGTCTGGTCATGGGCTTGTTTGTGTTCTTCTTGCTGGGGGTTCTCTGTGCGTCCTGCACTTGTGTAACTTTTTCCTTTACCAGGTTAGGCAAGTTTTCTGCCATTATTTCTTCAAACACCTTTCTTATGCCTTTCTCCCTTTCTGCCTCTTCTGAGACATCTGCTATTCTAATATTGTTACATTTCACATTGTCCCACAGCTCCCTTAAGCTGTCCTCCTGCTTTTTAATTGTTTTTTCTTTTTGGTTCTCTGATTGAGTGATATTTTCAACTCTGTCTTCTAATTCGCTGATTCTATACTTAACTTCCCCTAATCTGCGGTGTATTCCTTCCAGTGTATTCTTTATTTGTGTTATGTCATTCTTTATCTCAGACTGTTCTTTTTTCATAGTTACTGTATCTTTTTCATATTGATGAGCATCTTTACCATCATCATTCTGATTCAGATAAATTTCTTATCTCTGCTTTTTTATCTCTTCATCTGGAGAATTCTCTAGTTCTTTCATTTGGTGGTTGTTTTCTTGTCTCCTCATTTTGGCAGCCTGTTTTGGTTTGTGACTATGTATTAGGTAGATCCACTACACCTCTCAATCTCTAGTGCTGTACAGTGTCAAATGCTGTTTCTAACTAATTAGATTAGGCAAAGACTCAGCCTCTAGAGGAAGTATGTCAAACTCAAAGGCTAACATGGGCCAACTAAACAAGGTTTAAGTTTATGTGGGCCGCCAAAAAACAAAAGCTTCAATTTTCATAGAAACGTAGGTTTATTTAGATAGAGACACGCTGAATACAAAGGGCTGAAATAAATGAACAATCTATACTAATAAAAGGATAGTATGCTAATTAGACTGGATGACTTTTGGACGACCTTCTGGACCTCCTTCCTGACAAAGCGGGGCCCAGGAAAAGCTGCCCGCCCCTGGTCCTGGGTGCCAGCGCCTGCGGCTCCAGCTTAGGAGATAGAGAAAATCCACCAGTTCTGCGGTCTCGGGTACCAGCACCTGCAGCCCTGGAGGTGGAGAAAAGCTGCCTTCCCTGCAGTCCCGGGAGATAGAGAAAAGCCTGCCAACCAGGAAATTGTGCTGCCCAGGAGATGGAGAAAAGCCGCCAGCCCTGTGGTTCCGGGCGCCAGCGCCTGCGGGCCTGGAGATAGAGAAAAGCCTCCCGCCAATGGTCCCCTGTGGCTGCGGCCTGCCCGGGCAAAGCTGGCCCGGCTCCTGGGTGCTTGTGGCTGGCTGGAGGAGGGAATCCTGGGTCTCAGGTGCAGGGCCGAGGTAGAAGTGGTTAGGTGTGATCAGGCAGGCAGGCAGGTGAGTGGTTAGGATCCCGCAGTTCCGGATTGCTAGAGGCATGTTCAACTGCTGGTTTAGGCCGGAACCCACAGGGATGGGGCCTAAACTGGCAGTCAGACATCCCCTGAGAGGTCCTGCCTCTGCCTGCCTGCCTGATTGCCCCTAACCCCTCTGCCTGCCTGCTTGATCACCCATAACCTCATTGTCCCACAGCTCCCTTAAGCTGTCCTCCTGCTTTTTAATTGTTTTTTCTTTTTGGTTCTCTGATTGAGTGATATTTTCAACTCTGTCTTCTAATTCGCTGATTCTATACTTAACTTCCCCTAATCTGCGGTGTATTCCTTCCAGTGTATTCTTTATTTGTGTTATGTCATTCTTTATCTCAGACTGTTCTTTTTTCATAGTTACTGTATCTTTTTCATATTGATGAGCATCTTTACCATCATCATTCTGATTCAGATAAATTTCTTATCTCTGCTTTTTTATCTCTTCAGAAATAGAAACATCAGTGATGAGAGAGAATCATTGATTGGCTGCCTCCTGCAAGCCTCCTACTGGGGAACGAGCCCGCAACCTGGGCATGTACCCTTGACCAGAATTGAACCTTGTGTACCCTTCAGTCCGCAGGCCAACGCTCTATCCACTGAGCCAAACCTGCCAGGGCAAAGTAGTGTATGTTTAATTTCTGACTGGTCCTTTTTCATATCTTTGAAATTCTTTCTAAAATCCTTGAAGTCTCACTAAGTCCCTTGAAGCCCTCTTTGAACCATTTCTTTGAACTCTATTTCTGATAGTGTACTTGCTTCCAGTTCATGTATTTCTGGGAGATTTTTTCTGTTTTTTTTCACTTGTGACATTTTTTCTTGTCTCCGCATTTTGCCTGCTTTGTTGTGTTTGTTTCTATATATCAAGTAGAGGTGCTATGTTTCCTGGAATTGTTTGTTGGCCTTTTATAGCAGGTGTCCTGTAGGGCCTAGTGGCTCAGTCTTCCCAGTCACTTGAACTGGGCTCTCTAGGTGTGCCCTTGTGTGGGCTGTGTGCAGTCTTGTAGTTGAGCCATGCTTGCTGTTGGCGTTGCTGGAAAGAGTTGACTTCCAGACCAATGGCTGTGAGGACCAACTGCAATTACAGTGGAAGAGCTGCTGTGCAGTAAATACCTGCTTAGGGGAAGACTTGCTTCAGTGGAGCTTTGGTGCTCACTGAGTCTGCCCCTTGAGTGTGTCGCTTGTGGATGTGTAGAGTTGTAATATGGTATTATCTGAAGCTGTCCACTGGGTGCACCTGCTATGGGGCCTCCTGGGAGGTGCAAAGTCAGCCATTGCCTGGGGTCACCCTGCTGGGGCTACCAAATGATATGCAGAGGGCTGCTATTTGTATTGGGCTTGGAAGTGCCCAGATGAGGCCAAGCTGTGAAGCAAGGCAGGTTGGTGTTAGTGCCATGTCTTGATAGGTATGGGCCTCTTATTGATAGGTATTGGCACACTGAAGCCATGTGCTGCTTGTTTAACCCCTAGAGTGCCGGGGAAGTGCGATCGTGCTCTTCCTGTCTTTTGCCAAAAGTGCCAGGAGCGCTATCAAAGCTTTGAAATGGTGTCCAGTTCTAAGTCTGCTTTTATTAGTGTTGATGATATTACTAAATATGTCAATGTAGTAAAAGTTTCCTTAAGTTTTTGAATATGTAACTTAATTTACTTGCGATTCATAATTTTTTTCCTAAACTGCTGTAAAATTAACTTCATTTACTTGCGATTCATAATTTTTTTCCTAAACTGCTGTAAAATCAGCAAAAATGCCTTGGCAATTTTAGCATAGTTCCTAGGATATTGGTTGGCACTCAAAGGGTTAAGAGATTTTAGGAAAGTCTAAAGCTGAGCCAGGACAGGCCATTCATATGGAAAAGCCACTGCAAACAGCTTCGTGGGGCTGCAAATTAGATGGGGTGGGGTGCCAGGGTTTTTGTTCTGGCATTAAGAAGGGTTCAGCAATCTGGAGAAGGGGCTGTGTGTAATTAAATAAGAGTCCAGAGACAAAGCATAATTTTGAAAGGCATTTGGGGGGTCAGAGGAGCCTAGCTAAAGAAACTAAGATCTCCTCATCTCAGGACCCCATGCTTTTTATTAACATAAATTGTCCTGAGGTGAGGCAGAGATATACACATCAAAGGGTCAGGGTTTCTTATACAGAGTCCATTGTCAGAATGGGGAGAATTAGCCTATGGCTGTTCAGGTGTTTGGCCAGTAGGAGGCAATAACATGTAGGTTAAGATTCCCTGAGCTGTCTGGCAGCAATCATCCTGTTACAGGTTTGGGGGAATGCCCTTGCCACTCCAGATGATTCAGCCTTTGCTGACATGCTGGAATTGGCTTCTGGCAGTGGGGTCTCAGGGAATCATCAGGGTAGATCAAACAGTGTGCTTCAGGCTGATGGAGACTGCCAGTCAGCTCTGGTATGGGGGAGGTCCCAGCACATGAACAGTGATTCCCCTTGAGCACCTAACTCTGGGAGAAAGCTGCCTCTGAGTTCCTGCCCCAATGCCAAACAATCCAGTTCCTCCCAGTATGTCTTTGGGTCCTCCAGTGCAGCCAACCAGTGCTGGTGCTTAGAGGGATCAAGTCTGAGTAAGTTTGTGTGCCAGCCCTTTAAGAGGAATACCTGGGTCTCCAGCAGTTAACCATAATCCCTGCTGGTTTTTACAGCTCAAAGTTATAGGGACCCTGGGCTGGGGTCTGGTTTGGGGCTAGGACCCCTTGTTCCTCATGGCAGTCTCTGCAGAGACTATCTCCCTCCTGATTAAAGCGTGTGTGGTACCAGCCAGTTCTGTGCCTCCTCTCTCCTACTAGTCTCAGTGTGCTTTCTTTTCACTTCTCTAGTTGTAGAGCTTCCTTTCAGCCAGCTTTCAGGCGGGTCTGAATGATGGTTATTCTGTATTGTAGTTGTAATTTTGATGTGGTTGTGGGAGGTGGAGAGTTCTGACTTTCACCCACACAACCATTTTTATTTTCTCTGCTTTTTTCCTAATACACACACACACACACACACACACACACACACACACACACACATATATATATATATATATATATTTTTTTTTTATTTTTTTATTTCTAGGCCGTTCGCTGCTATGAATCTTTAATCTTAAAAGCTGAAGGAAAAGTGGACTCTGATTTCTTTTGTCAATTAGGTCACTTCAACCTTCTGTTGGAAGATTATCCAAAAGGTAATGTTTTTATTGTCTTTTAAAGTTAGTGCTTGAGTTGTTTGCATAATATATAAATGTCAATATCTTTATTTTTTACCAAGGGCAAAGAGTTTTTTAGTTTCTTAAATTTCTTCCAGTTAGTTCATAAATACAAATGACAATGTGAAAGAAAGAGTAGATGGATATAAAACAGAAAGCAAAAAAAAAAAAAAAAGAAGAAGAAAGCAACAAATGAACAAACAAAAACTCAGACACAGACAGTAGTATAGTGATTATCAGAGGGAAAGGAGGTAGGCGGGCCGTAGAGGGTAAAGAGGCTAAATGGTCTGACTCAGTGGTTGAGGGTTGATGTATGAACCAGGAGGTCAGTGTTCAATTCCTGGTCAGGGCATATGTGGGCTTGATCCCCAATAAGGGGTGTGCAGGAGGCAGCTGATCAGTTATTCTCACTTGTCATTGATATTTCTATCCCTCTCTCCCTCTCTCTTCCTCTCTGAAATCAATAAAAAAATACTTTTAAAAAAGTAACCGGTTAACACGTTAAGCGCCCAGCCTTATGATGACAAAAGATTTCACTTCGTATAATTTTATTGCCAACCAATAAAAAAGAGTAGATGGAAATATTCATGGAACAATTTTGTGAAAATCACAGCTTCAAAAGCATTTGGATGATATCACTTGGGGGATGTTAGATAGAAAAGATAATTGCTGGGACAGGAAATGGGGGAACAGGAAAAAAGAGATTTTATCTCACTCACTAAACAGAGAAATCAGCCACTTTAGGATTTGCAAACAGATGACCAAATATATGTATGAACATTCCTAGATAAGCCACAATCTAGAAACCTATATAGGGAAGAGTATAAAACCCTTTGAACTCCCACAGGGAGGAGCACTTAAATTAGCTGAATTGCTAGCTGTGTTCGATGCCAAGTGCATTAAAAAAATTTTTTTTAATTGATTTCAGAGAGGAAGGGAGAAATAGAAACATCAATGATGAGAGAGAATCATTGATGTGCTACCTTCTGCATGCCCCCCATTGGGGATCCTGCTGGAAACCAGGAATGTGCCTGACGGGAATTGAACCCTCACTTCCTGGTTCATAGGTTGATGCTCAACCACTGAGCAACACTGGCCTGACAATGGCAAATGCATTTTTAATAAATCCATGTGCTTTGCTTTAAGGCTGTTGTCTGCCACTCATCTGAAATCTTTCATACAAGATTGACAGGAGCTGAGGAGGGGACAGTCCCCCACTATTACTCAGGGGTATTTCAGGAAGAATGACCCCCAGGCTACTTTCCCATGAACCATACAGAGGTGGAGCAGGCCTCAGAGCTCTCCTCAAGACCTGAAGAAATGATCCATTACCCTTACCTCACCCCCCACCAAGAATATCCCAGGATGACCCAGAACCCCTAACCCACAGTGTTAAGTGACTTTGCCTTGTATCATCTGTAATCTGCACACACACCATTGGAAGTAGGATCTTGACCTTGAGAACATTTCAGCTTACCAATTCTATAAACTACTTCCTTTCTACATTGCAAACTCCTGTTTATGCATTTATTATAGCCAGGGAGTGTAGCCAAACAAAGTGAAATACTGGGGTTCAGTAAAATTAATCTGTCTCATTTTGTGAGAGGTCTCAGCCAATAACTCAAAAAGATAAATAGGAAAATTTCCTTTCCATTAATTTACTGAAGAGTGGAATACAATAAACTATGCTACTAAGGCACCAAAGTAGCATACCACCACTACACTCTAATCCTAAAACAAGTACCCAATTGTTTCTGCTAGACATAATTGTTAAAAATAACTTGTCCAACTCTCACAAGAGATTTATGACCATAAAGTTTAATTATTCTTACTTATAAGATACTTTTTCTTTGATATAGGTGTTTTTTGAAAGGGAAGTGAAGGTATTTTTCTTGGTGTCTTTAACTTACTAATAGAGCAGTGGTGTTGGGAGGATTATGAAAGCACACATCTTTTAAAGATTTATCTCAAATTATATACCCCTACCTTTTTCTGAGAAAAATATTTCAAATGAATAAAAAATGTTTTATTCAAGGCTCAAACTTAGAGAAGATTATGTCTATTATTATGCAGTACCATGAATAAAGTTTGAATTTATAACTAAACTGAAAAAATTTAAAGAAAATCAAGAGCAAAAAGCATTTAGAATGCTCTTTGTTCGTTGTACTCAAATTTTTTTTGGGGGGAGTCTATAACCTCATTCCTGAATGATAGGGAATTATTTCATTATTACAGGCCCAGTGCACGACATTTGTGCACTGAGGGTGGGGGTGGGGGTCCTTCAGCTCGGCCTGTGCCCTTTTACAGTCTGGGAGCCCTTGGGACATGTCTGACTGACGCTTAGGGAAGCAGGCTTATGCCGTCAGTCGGACATCCTTAGCTCCGCTGCTGTTCCCAGCAGCCCATTGTTCCCTTCTTGCTGAGGGGCTCTACCGCTGTGGGAGAGCACTGATCACCAGGGAGCAGCTCCTGCACTGAGTGTCTGCCCCTGGTGGTCAGTGCACATCATAGTGACCAGTCATTCTGTCGTTCGGTTGGTTTGCCTATTAGTCTTTTATTATATAGGATTCCAGAGAGGCTTACCAGAGTTTCTGCTGATGAGATGATTTACCATGGAGCCCTTATGTAGCCTCAACATGAACTGAGGATAAGGGTGAAAAGAATGCAAAATAAACTCTTAAATGCTCAAATTTGATGAGTTTATGAGTTTCCAGGTTTGTAAATCAGCCCTAATTCCTCAGGAACAGAAGCTCCTAAACTCTGCACACATCTAGACCTCACTTTGTTCAATTGGCTGTTCATCTGTATTCTTTACAAATCCTTTATAATAAACTGGCAAATATTCCCTGGGGCATAGTGAGTCATCCTAACAGATAATCAAACCCAAAGAAGGGGTTGTGAGAACCTCTGATTTAAAGCTACTCTATCATTAACCTTAACTTGGAATTGGCATCTGAAGTCGCACAGTCACGTGGAAGGAACTGAGTCCTTTACCAGTGAGATTAACAAGAATTGAGCTAATTAGTAGGACACCATTGAGTTCTGGCTAGGAAAGAATCCAGTCAAGACTCAAAACTATAAGAGAACATCCTATATAATAATCCTATATAATAAAAGGGTAATATGCAAATAGACTGAACGGCAGAACAACCAATCAAAGTGTAATATGCTAATGACTAGAGGCCTGGTGCATGAAATTCGTGCACTGGGGGGGGGGGATCCCTCAGCTCGGCCTGCAGTCCAGGAGCCCTTCAGGGCAGGGAGTGGACCTAAGCCGGCATTCGGACATCCTTAGTGCTGCCTTGGAGGCAGGAGAGGCTCCCGCCACCACTGCTGCACTTGCCAGCCGTGAGCAGGGCTTCTGGCTGAGTGGCTCTCCTGCTGTGGGAGTGAACTGACCACCAGGGGCAGATCCTGCATAGAGTGTCTTCCCCCTGGTGGTCAGTGCACGTCATAGTGACTGGTCTTTCCTCTGTTCGGTTGGTTTGCATATAAGCCTTTTATTATATAGGATATGCTAAGGCTGCTCAACTGCTCACTATAATGTGCACTGACCACCAGCGGACAGATGCTCTGACTGGTAGGTTAGCTTGCTGATTGGGTCCAGCCAATCGGGACTGAGCCAGATGGGCCAGACATGTCCTGGAGCCCTTCCTCGGTCCCTTCCGCTGGCAAACCTCCCATGTCTCTCCCTGTCACATCATGTACTGGTGGGGTCCCTCGGCCTGGTCTGCATCCTCTCACAATCTGGGACCCCTCGGGGGATGTCGGAGAGCTGGTTTTGTCCTGATCCCACAGGGGGAGTGCCATTCAGCCAGAAGGCAGGCTCATGGCTGGTGAGCACAGAGGCAGCCTTTCCCGCCTCTCCTGCCACTGTGGCAGTGCTAGTCTGACATCCCCAGAGGGCTCCTGGACTGCGAGAGGGTGCAGGCCGGGCTGAGAGTTCCCGCTCCTCCGAGTGCACAAATGTTGTGCACTGGGCCTCCAGTTTATTTATAAAATCATAGAGTAGAAGAAATGAGCTTAAGAAACATGTTATAGAGGCAAAGAAAGGACCCTTGGAAATTAGAAATGAGGTAAGTAAAAGTGGTGTGCCTTGGGGGGTGTGGTAGAGGGGAAGGGCAAGGAAAATGGAAAGGCCCTGGGAGGGTCTCCTGGCCTAAGGGTTTTAGGGGAGGTCCCAAGGGAAGATCTTAATGGAATAATCACCAGCTTTCCTGGTGTGTCCTTTCAGTGTCAGGGTCTCCACTGATTGATTGGTCCATGTCAGGACAGGGGGTCATTATTGAATGCAGCTGGCCCTGAGGTCAGCCATGGTCTATTTTTCCTGCTTTTCTGGGCCTGTAGCTGAAATACAGCTGAGGCCTAGATGTTATCTCTAGGGAGGAAAGGTGAGAGGGTTCAAATCCCATGAGCAGTGATATGCTAGGGATGGAAAGGTCATCCCCGGATGAGGTTTTACCCTTTAGTTGTCCTTTGCTAGGCACCTGGAGCTCTCCACTCTGGTGAGTTTCTGTACCTGCCCCATCTTTCTTACTCTTCTCATGTCTGTCTAACTGCCTACTACATCCATAGGATAGTATAGTTAACACAATTTATATTTCACAGAGATGTTAATTTTGGCAACAACATAACAATGAGGAGTACTGTGGTCTCATGGTGAGAGAAATACATCAATTGGTTGCTTCCTGCACACACCCTGACCAGGGGAGGAGCCTGCAACCGAGGTTCATGCCCGTGACCGACATTGAAACTGGCACCTTTCAGTCGCAGGCTGATGCTTTATCCCCTGAGCCAAACTGGCTAGGATGGCATTTAACTTCTTGATAGAATATTCTTGAGTCCAAAACACTGTCATCAAGAGATTTAGCCATTTGATAAATAGAAGTTGGCTTAATCATTTGTAATAGTAGAGAGGAAAGGGATCAGAAATATTCTTATGTATTTTAAATTTTATGGTGAATTGAAAGTTTTCTAGT